GCTGTGCTGTGCTGTGCTGTGCTGTGCTGCTGGACGGAGGGCTGTGCTGCCATCCACAGGGACCCGGGGGAACCAGCGGGCCGGAGCTTCGTGCGGCTCCACGGCTCTCTTCGCTTATTTCCCTCCGGCCCTTGGCTTCTTCTGGGTCAAACTCCCCGTCCTTGTGCCTTCCTGTACCGCACTCTGTGTCCTCATTTCCCTGGGTGAACAACGTGCCCTCCAGCGCTTCACTTTAAATGCACAGAACTCTCCTCTGGCTGAGCTCTGCTGGTCATGAATTCTGGCAGCCAGAGAAGTCAGAGAAGTCCTGGGCTCCAGGCTCCAGGGAAAGCTTTTTCATGCCCAGCTGGTTGGAAACCACTGAGGTGGACATCCAGGACCTCTCCTTGGCTGTTGTATTTCTTTTGAAAGCTAAGCTACACCCACAGAGTCGTGGAATGGTTGGGGTTGGAAGGGACCTTAAAGATATTTCGTTCTAGCAGGAGAGGAGGGACACCTTCCACCAGCCCAGGTCGCTCCAAGCCCTGTCCAACCTGGCCTTGGACACTCCCAGGGATCCAGGGGCAGCCACAGCTTCTCTGGGCAACCTGTGCCAGGGCCCCCCCACCCTTGATTTTGGGGGTTTTTTTTGGCTCTTCCACAGAGCCATTCCCAGCTTCCCCAGGAAGTGGAGCACAGAGGAACTGAAGGTCATGGCTTGCAGCTCTGCTGTCCTTGGCCATTCTGACTCCACCTGGGACTGCTCTCCCAGGGCCAGGAGAGCCCCAGGCCCGGCTGCTGTGCTGGAATGCTTGGGAAGAAGCCTCTTCACAGTTGCAACACACCTTTCAGTGACTGATTGGGGAAGTTCATGCCCTCAGGAGCTCCTTCTGCTGGGATGGCAGATGTGGGATGATGAATGGATGGATGGTTGTCTGCTGAGCTGTGCTGATATCACAGAGCTGAGCTCAGGTGCCAACCTGTGTGAGATCCAGGGATTTGAAAGATTTTGAGATAAAGGAAATACCTGTGACATTCTTTTGGCATTGGGAGCCCAGGTGCCTGTGAGGGATCTTCCCAGGCATTTCACTGCACCTTTGACAGCTGGAAACCTGCCCCTTAGATCAGAATTCCCACTTGGAATGGTGTTCCATTGCAGCTGGGTTAACTTAGGGTGGAAGGGAGGAGAAAAGAAGAGGAGGAGAAGAGGAGGAGAAGAGAAGAGAAGAGAAGAGAAGAGAAGAGAAGAGAAGAGAAGAGAAGAGAAGAGAAGAGA